GCGGTCTTGCGATAGATGGTGCTGGAATATGTTAGATAAGGACAGATGTATGCGTTTAAGTGAGATAGAACGATATATAAAATAATGTAAGAAATGTGTGTGTGAATCAAAGATGTCACTATTATCGAATTTGGAATTAAAAAAGTCTGCACTATCGACCTCGATCAAGTTCGGTAATCAGTTTAGGATCCCCTTAAGCAGTGATCAGTATGAAATGTCAATTCGTTATGTCTGAAGTTCGGACGGTTCAGACAGTAAACAAATATAGTATGCCTTGAAAACAAAAGAGCAGTTAAATAAAATTCCTATATTTATTGATATCGTCCTACAAATATCCTGAGCCATCCTGGACATATTCAGGATGATTCTGAGGACGACTTGTGATGTCCGAGTTCAAAATGTAATAATTTCGAACTTTTAGCTCTGAAGTGGGTTAAAATAGTTCGAACATACATTCAGTCCGAACTATTTAACGGTTGAACTTAAGATTCGAACTGTCCGAACTGTCAAATCGTCTGATGTTTCCGAGCACTAATAGAAATGTATATAAGCTAGAAGTTTACCTTTTAAAATCGCCCAGCATTTCTTTAAGACTCCCCGTAACTATTTTTTGATCGTCATTTATAAACTTCAGTTTTATAGTGATATCATTGCTGCTATCACTTAAGGTTGATCCTTCTGACATACATTCTGATGAATTACTAGTAGTTTGGTCCAATGCCGAGTCAGAATTATCTGCCTTGACTGTTCTTTGTAACAGTGATCGATCAGCATTGCTGAACGAATCCATGGCTTCAATAAGTACTTCTTCCGCCGTCGTAGATTCCGTTGGTCTCGATACATCTTGAGACAATTCGCTCGTATCTAATGATTACGATAAAAAAAAAAGGTTTAAGTAATACTTTACGCAAAAGAGAGAAAAAGAAATATTTACCTACGACAGCTGCAGTTGGACAGTTTGCCTGTATACTATCGCCACTATTCGAAGTTGTTTCTAGTGCTTCTTCTTCTGCTGTTTCTGACCTGTGAGGTCGACTAACATCTTGGACACTAAGATTACTTGTGCTCTGATGATTAGCTCTTATTGAAGTGATACGTGTAGGCGCTCGGTCCCGTAGGATAAGTACTGTACGTATCAGTGGCTGATCCGCTATACTTGTTGAACACCAAGCAAGCCATCCCACCAACAATATGGTCATGACAATGAAGAAATCTGTGACTTCATCGCCCACTCCTTCGATCAATGACATCTTACTTGAGGATCTATTAAAATGACAATATACAAATATTTATAAAATCATCTATATTATTGCTAATCAATATTGTACTTTAACTCTTACAATACAAAGTACAATTTGGTGCTTCATCTATCCAAACATGAGTCACTAGAATCAGTCTGTTTTTTTTCACCTATTCAGAATAGTTCAAAAGATCTCTAAAAATTCACCAACATACTTTCAACTTTCTAGAATAAATATTGAAACTTCATTTTGGAAAATAATAAAATGCAGTATAATTTATAATTACCGAAAGACTTAAAGAAACTTGCACGAACAGGAATTGCTGGGTCGCTAGCGACCTAACCTTGTACGGTAAGGATTAAATTTGATTTTTTAAACATTGAACTAACATATCAATTAAAGCTGTTTATAAATAAGCAATTATCTTCAGATCTTATAAAAATGGTATGGCATTTAACTTCCTTAATACAAATAATTTTCTCCCAAAAGGTATTATGAATTCATTAGTCAGTAGCATGTAAAAGAATCATTTTTTACATTATGACCTATAAGATGTCAAAGGGTTTAAATAGATTTTAATTGATATATTTGTCCAAAGACATATATTATTTATATAAGATATTAATATAAGAGGTTATAATATTATTTATAAAATTGTCTGTCTTCCTTGCGACCTTGTAATCAATTTTCTGAGACTTTGCACTATGACAGTACCAAAACTAGATACTGATGCAACGAAGTAATAAATCTTTTACATGTCTCACGATGACGTTTCGCGACAGTCACTAATTAGCAGAAGCAATTAACAGTCAGAGAGGCAGAAATGAAATGAGCGTAGCGTACATGGGATAGAAAGCTGCGGCAAAATCCGTCCTTTGCGAGGTTATCTTGTTCGAAGAGAAATTTGTCAACACGGAAGTACGAAATGAACGCTGCTCTCCTTCCTCAGGGCCGAGGAACGGCGTCTCATGGCACAAATCGACGATCTTAAGGAATCCGAGGAACGTCGTCGTTGGATCCTGTCCTTAGCGATATATTCTTGCTTTTACCGACGAGCGAACAGCCTCCTCGTTACGCACATAATTCTCTCAGTCCCGTCAACGTGGAACGTGGGACGCGATAACGACTGCAAACAGCGAGACACTCGCAAATATTCGATCGACAAACATCTGGGGACAGAGAAGGAGAAAGAGCGCGAGAGAGATGACGCAAATAGTAGGTTTATAGTCGTTTATAATAAAGACATCAAGAGACATGCAACGTGTACGTATATATACGTACCTGAGCTGATTAATAATTAACGCGATCTCTCGCTCTTTCTCCCGTGCGTGAAACTCAACAGGCAATTTTACTTCGATTATCGCTCGGATAAATACCGTATTTATCATCCGAAACGTTCCGGCGAAAGCAACGGGCTATCCGGTTAATCGCGTGGCGGGAGAATTGGAAGAGTCCGCCCTTGACATGTATTCCGCTGTTTATTTGTTACGTCCACAATAAACTTGTCTATTATTATTATTAATCGTTATCGGGGAACTTTCCATAGTGGTAAATTACATCAAGTCCACATCATCGGAGGAATAAATTTGAAAAAACGATGTGTTTCGAACACACATTTTGAGGCGCGTAATTTGTGGCGCGCGCCGTTGTTCCTGTATTCTTGTATTTTTTTGTTGGCTTTAGTTGATATTTTTGTATAGCTTATCAAGATGTATTTGTACATGTTACATATGCATATTAACTTTTAGCGAATAAATGAATGGATTAAACCAGATTAAACGGATTTGAAGGAAATATCGAGGTCCAAAATTATACATAGATGATCAAAGTTGTAGAGTAACAGCAAGTGAAAAACGGCATTCTGTTCATTCTTTGCAATTTTTGTCATTATTGCATAATATGTAAAATCTACAAATCAATCTGCTATAAATAAATAAAAATTCATATAACTGGTTGACTCTATAAATCTATATCAAAAACTTGTTCCTTCTTTAGACTTGTTTCTCCTGTTTTTCCTTTTAAAGATCAGAGAATCATGAGAAAAAAAATTATATCTAAACAATTTTTTCGACGTCTTCTCTCATAATAAAAATATAGTCCTTATATAATTCTTATAAAACTTTATTCATATAATCCTTGTAAATATTGATGAGAGAATCGGGCGTTCTAGGAGTGATGGTGCTAAATGCAGCGTCGAAATGTTTTTTGGTGACGAGAATAGCGTTAATATCCTCCTCCAACGCCTTCATGGCAGCTTCGTGGCATATCGCTTGAATTTCCGCGCCGGTGTAACCTTCTGTTTCGCTGACTAGATGCTCAATATCTACTTCTTCCTTTGCGATGTTCATACGTCGCAATTTTATCTCGAATATTTCTCGTCTGGTGTTCTCGTCTGGCAACCCCACGTATATGATACGATCTAATCGTCCAGGTCGGAGGAGTGCCTGAAATATTTATTGTTGTATTTTCTTATACAAAACAACCATTAAATTATTCAATTACTTTATCAGTTATGATCTCTATCGATGAAAAGATATTCTAAAAAGATATTAAATAATATTTGATATTGATAGAAACATTTAACTGAGAATTAATTCAATTATTTTAATACATCTAAAGTTTTACAGCTGTTTTTGTATCTTTGATCATAACTGCATAATATAAAGTCGTGACTTATATTTTTGTGCTAAATTTATTTTGCCTTTTTTTATGAATATTAAAGAGAACTTTCTTATTCTATCGTAAAAAGGATTGAGTCGGAGATATTAGTTCTTCAAATTGATTCTATATCGTATTATATTTAGTTATACTTTTATCAATTATATAAAATAGGAAATATTACTTTGTCAATTTTATCCGGTCGATTAGTAGCCGCTACCAGTGTGACGCTTCCCAAAGCGGTGACACCATCAAGTTCAGTTAGTAACTGAGCTAATACTCGCTCCTGCACGTTGCTTCCACTACCACCGGACGACGAACCTCTTTCACCACCTAGTGCATCTATCTCATCGATAAATATGATGGACGGTGCTACTTGTCTCGCCTTTCGAAATACTTCTCTTACAGCCTTCTCAGACTCGCCTACCCATTTCGAGAACAGCTCTGGGCCCTGCAAATAGTTATACGACATAACAATGGAGATATAAATAAGCGTTTCGAACGACTTACCTTAATATTTAAAAAGTTAACTTTGCTCTCAGTAGCAAGAGCTTTCGCAATCATGGTTTTCGAGCATCCTGGCGGTCCGAACATTAAAACGCCTCTAGGAGGCGTAATGCCCATTCTTATGAAAGCTTCGGGATGTTTTAGCGGCCATTCCACAGATTGCTTTAATTTTAGCTTCAAGTTGTCTTGCCCGCCGATATCCGACCACCTCACATTCGGTATTTCCACTAAAACTTCCTTCATCGCTGAAGGCTTTGTTACAGTCAGAGCGTAATGAAAATCGGTCATTGTCACTTTTAGTTCATTTGGATCATTTGGTTCATCGTCGAACGTAGCCTTATTCTTCTGACAACATTTCACAGCATTGATTATCGCTCTGGAGCACAAACCATATAGGTCCGCGCCGACGAAGCCATGAGTAATAAACGAGATATTCTGTATATCTTCACATGAAAGCGTATTGGGAATTTTCGAAAGTAACTTCACCAATATTTCCTTACGCATGTCTGGAGTTGGTACATAAATCTCAAAGTCCATGTCCAATCTTCCAGGTCTCCTCAGAGAACTGTCCACGAGATCTGACTTTGCAGTGGTAGCCATTACTAGCACATTGCTGTTGGTATTTTGCAGATCATCAAAAAGCGTTACTAGTTGAGTTAGGATCCTCTTCTCGTGATCTGTACTGGAACTGTTTCTCTTAGGACATAGACTGTCCACATCTTCCAACAATATAATACTGGGAGCGCTCGATACCGCTTTGCTGAACACTTCTTTGAGCTTACTCTCCGTTTCACCAACAGACTTACTGTAAATGTCCGAACTGTACACGGTAAACGTATTAACGTTACATTCTGAGATTATAGCATTGGCTATCATGGATTTACCAACGCCAGAGGGGCCGAATAATAATATCCCTTTACAGATATTAAAGCGTTCGATACTTTTATACTTGCCAATACCTATTGCCACTACGTCTCTTATATCGGATATAAGAGCATTGTATCCACCTATATCTTCAATTTTATGTCTTCCTTTTGCAACATTTTCTTTATCCTTATCCAGAATGGTCCACTTTGTTGTGTAGAGAGCTTTATAAAAGGCTATTTTTGTAGAAGGTGTTAGATTTATATCTTTGAAAGCTTTTGATAGATCGTTTACATCCACTGTTTCGGTTTGCTTTCTCTTGGTTTCCTCTGCTTTGATTTGAACAATTTTATATACCAACTTCTTTCCGTAATACGGCACGCTTATCCTATTGCCCACGGTAAATATTTTGTGTTCATTAAAATATTTTAGAATATTATCCAGTTCCACACTTACATCAGACAAACACTTTCCTTGTTGACTAATTACAATTTCCTTGGCGATATGGACAGTGGATGTCAAGGAACATATTTTGGTTAATCCTGATAAATTATTTAGGTCAATGGCTAAAAATAAGAAACAGGACTATCATTAATTTAGTTCACCAGTTAAACCTGTTATAAAAATTATAAAATTGAAATTGCCTTACCGTGTTTTGTTAAAGAGACACTTGTCAAACTTTTATCATTAATCGGCCAGGCGGTTTTCACAACTACCTCATCTTTCGTTGCAATAATGGTTGGTGATCCAATTGCAATCTCGCACAGTTGCAAAGTGAACTGCGACACAAATACCATATCATTAGCGTCCTTCTCAGAAATGCGTTTGGGCAATTCTATCAGATACACAAAATGATTTATCATGAATTAAAGACAGATGTAAATGAAAGTTATATTATTGTTAATTATGAAAATATCAATAATTACATACCTTGTGTTTGGAAGACTTCTATCGTGCTATGCAAAACTCCGTTAAGGATGAATGGATGGTCCCAATTTTCTGTGGAAGGTGGACAGCTTACCTCGTGCACAGAAATATCTTTTTGCGCCAGAGCACATTGACACTTCTCGCACTGCTGCCATGACGACAAGCTTTTTCTTAATTTAGTAGACATTCTGTAAAAGTAATAATTGATCTATTCTTCTTACCAGAACTTGATGGAAAAAAAAGAGATGAATGTTTAAAACAGACCTATTGTTAAATAAAGAAAATATAATATTTTTTAGAATAATCTATTGAAATATTTGAATAATATAATTTTAAATTCTATCAAACGCTTGAAATATTATTTAACAATTGTTAAAATATACTTATAATGAAGAGAGAAACGGAAACACAAAATAATGTTCTGTTTCTAGCTTGACTCTACCATCGTATATACGTAAAACTTATCAATAAAAATGAAGATCAATATTTCAAATTAAATTCCTTATTTATATATTAACTTACTTATTTATAGCTACTAGATATTTAGTTGCTAGATTTTAATGAGAAATTTTAGGTTGAGTTTCAAGCTAACCTTATCAACATAAAATAACACACGTTTTAAATGGAATACGTCTAGTGGCGCCTCTATGCGTACAAAGCATGCACATTGAAAATTGTATCATCACTGATGAGACTATAATGCTGGATTCACACTACATCC